CACTCCCACCCCATCCCAGCCACACATTCATGCAGATGGTGAGTCATAGTGGCTGATGGCCTATGTACATGATCCTTAATCATCCAGTTATTGACACATCCCACCTGCCCATGGTAGGTATGCTTCAGAAGACACACTTCTTTTCCCTTCTGAATCAGGACCCAGCCGAATGGCAGGTGGAGGAATCATAACCGCTCTACTGATACAAGCTAGGTGGCATGCAGGAGCAGCCTACCTGGCTTGGCAACACACTCTCCACTATCTTTTCCCACTTCCAAATTTAGATGTGATCAGGAATACCTAGAATAACTCCATGTAAGCAGGGACTGAATAGAAAGGATTAAGTTAGCTGAGCATCCATCACTCTGTGCTTAGTGGCTACAAACACAAGGTGACCAGCTGCCTCAAGTTCCTCCGACCTTGACTTCCCTACCATGACAGACTACAACTCTGAACTGAGAGCCAAAATAAAGCCTTCCTTCTGTAAGTCATCTTTGTTGGGTATTGTATCACAATAATGAGATAAGTAACTGATACGGAAAATTGGTTTCAGGAGTGGGGTTGTTACTTTCACAAACCTAGACCACGGAACTCTTAGGCTCTGGAACTGGTTCACAGGAAGCATGTTTGAGAGTTTGGAAGTGTGAGCTAGAAAAAGTCCCTGCTTACTGTAAGAAGACCTTAATGGACCATTCTGTGGAAGGGAGGGGTGCTTGGAGAAACATGAAAAGTGGAGACCTATCTCTTAAGGTTCCCAAGGCCTTTGCAGAGGCCTGGGCTGGAGGTCATTCTAGTTACTTTCTGCCAGTGTCCTGAGAACCTCTCTGAAGCTAAACTCAAAAGTAATGAACTAATTTCTTAAGCAAAGAAAATTTTAAGACGGTATAGGAATTAGGCTATGGTGCTTTGGTTGCTCACTACTCCTATCCAGATCTACACTGAGCTCAAGGGGACATGAAAAAATGTGAAGGTTAGCAATGAAAATGTGTGATGAGTTTAAAATTGTGGACAAAGAAAGTTCAGATGACAATGCATCTATAACTGTTAAAAGGAAACCCTAGTCTTCATTGAGATAATAGGAAAAGTGCCCTGAAGGCAAGACCCATCCTATCCAAAGGACTCCAATTTGTGACAATGCAAATTCATCTGAAAGGAAGAAGCCTGAACAACAACAAAAATTTCACAGAGGGAGTTCCCGGCTCTGGGAAGCTGTTGTTCCAGATTTAGCCACAAAGTCAGACAAAGAGTGTCACAGCTGGGGTCTAAGGGTACCAGGTTCCATCAGGAGCTGGCAATGGAGCTAGGTAGTATCATTCATGTGGTGCTGGTTTCGCAGCTATGAAAGAGGTAAGACTGTGTGGATCATGAAGTCTTGTCTCACAGTTCCAAAGAATTGCTGAGGCCAGGCAATGCATGGAAAAGTCAGAGCATCTAAAAGGAGGCTATGGAAGAAGGCCACTGTCTGAAGCTATGAAGGTGAAGCTTAAGTTGCAATGGAGACCCCAGGATGCTGGAGGCACTAGAACATGGGATATCCAATAAGAAAAGCTGCATGCAGAGAGTAGGGTTGGCTCAAGAGAGAGGCTGTAGTGATAGAGGCCGAAGAACTCAGGGGTGGGGCTAACTAGACCCTTCAGAGCCCAGATAATCCATCATGAGCCCCAGATGCCTGGCTGAAGGAGTTAGTGTTGACTGTTCTAGGGTTTAATCTCTATTTAGCCTGACCAATCCTTGGTATGTACCCATTCTTCCCTTTTGGAATGGATATATATTCTTGCCTTTGTATTTGGAAGTGTATGATAAGGTTTTAGTTTGACAGGAGATCACAGTTAAGAGATTGTCTTGAGTCTCAGAGATTTGAATTATGGACTTCTGAATAGTTTTGAAACTATTAAAGACTAAGGGGACTTTTGAAGGTAAACTGGCTGCCATTTTGCATTATGAGAGGGGCCTTGGAGGCCAAGGGGTAGAAGGTCATGGCTTAAAAGTGATGTGTTTTGGGGTCATGTTGAAAAAGAGTGGCAGTGTGATGATCAATATTGATTGTCAACTTGTCCAGATGTAGAATCACCTACGAACCAGTCCCTGGGCTTGCCTCAGAGGATTGGCTGGATTAGGTTAGACTTTAGACACTTCTGTCAGGGATTGTCTGTACTAAGTTAAGTGAAATGAGAAGACTCACCTTAAATGTGGACAGCACCATCTACAGGCTGGGGCCATCGGATGAATAACAGGAGTAAGCTGACCAAAGCCCTTGAATTTGTGACTCTGCTTCCTGACTGTGGATACCATGGGACCGGCTGTCAGAGCTGGTGCTTGCATGATTTCCCTACCGAAATGGACTGTAATCTGAAACTGTGGGCCAAAACAAAACCTTCCTTCCTCAATTTGCTTTGTCGGGTATTTTATCACAACAAGACAAGAAACATTGGGCATACGGAAAGGCAAGAAAATAGGACCCATAAGGAGCTGTAGCTGTTGATGGAAACCTACACAGAAGTAGCCGACATGGCAAAATTACTACACAAACACATCAAAACACTGTGGGTGTGCTCTGAATGCTTAAAACATAGAGAAATGACTGGGTGTAGTAAATGTAGACAGAAATGAAATGTCCAGAAGTAGAAATTTTAATATCTGGGATGAAAAATACACTGAATGGTTAGACTCTGAAAAACATTAGTGAACTTGATTGACCCAGCACAGGACATTATCCAAGATAAAGAAAAGAAACTCAAAACTAGAAAAAAAATGATAAATTCTAGGAAAATTTAAAACAACCTAATATACATGTAGTTGGTCTAAATGTGATCCTGAGACAGTGAGAATATCTGAAAAGAAGCTGGACAGATGGCTGAGTAGGTTAGGAGCCCTGACTGTTCTTACAGAGGATTCGGGTTAGGTTCTCAACACCCACATGCTGGCTCATAGCTGTCCGTAACTCCAGTTCTATGGTATCTAATACCTTCTATTTGTCTCTGTGAGTACCAGGAATGCACGTGTGTGTGTGTGTGTGAGTGTGTGTGTGTGTGTGTGTGTGTGTGTGTGTGTGTGTATACAGACAGAACACAGACATAAAAATAAGAAAAGAATACTTGAAAAAAAGTATTCTTTTGCAAACAGCAGGGGCCAAATCACATGTGAACCCCAAGCTCAAGGGACACTGATTAAACTACACTAATTCTTACTGTAAATCCATATGCTGTTAGCCATGGCTAAGAAAATTACGTTAACTAACATGGCAAGGAACATAAGCTATACAAGGAAATCAAGACAGAAATGGCATGTTCCATCAGAAATGAGGGAAGTTGGAAAACAATAGAGAGAACATGAGAAGGAAAAAAAAAACCCAGTATCTCAAAGCTCCAACTCCACCATGTATCTTGCTATTACAAGGCTGGAATAAAATCTTTTTTTCAGATGCAGAAGCTGGGAAAAAATGGTCACCAGTAAGCCTGTGCTGTAAGCAAGTATGAAATATGCTCTTTATGTAGAAAGGGAAGAATGCAGGCTGGAAAGCTGGAAATATCAACTATGTGGCTAAACAGAAGGGTTTTGTTACATTTTAATCTTAGGAGATGATTGACAGTCCAAAGACAAAGTGATATGCTATGGAGTTAATAGTGCATGTGACAATAAAATGTATGACACCAAAAAGCCTGAGAAATGAGGGATCGAAGCCTTCTGTAGTTTTCACACTTTAAATTAAATATTATAACATCCCTTGAAGTTAGAGGAGGATGAGATGAATCATCAAAGAATCATCATAAAATAAGCCATAGCTAATAAACCAACAGTGGAGATATGATGGAATTTTAATTAAAGATAACCTGCTATTATCATTGCATGTGTGTGCATGTAAGTGTATTGGAAATGGGGGAGAAGGGGTGTGTGCTACAGCGTTAGTGTGCTCAGAGGATAACTGTGTGAGGTCAGTTCTGTCTCTCCATCTTTGTGTGGGTGCCAGGGACTGAATTTAGGCCTCTACGCCTACACAGGAAGCACCTTTAGCCGTCCTCTGTGGTCCTATGATAGGACCATTTAAAAATGTTCAACTGATCCAAAGGAACACAGAAACAAGGGACAAAGAGCAGGTTATGAATAAAAGCAGGTTGCAAGACAATAGACTTGAATACACACATATCACTAATCATGTCACGTATACAAATAGTTTACTTGAAAGACAAAGAGTTTTCAGATGGTACATTTCAAAACTCAACTATACCGTGTTTCAAAAAGTGCACTGAAATCTTTTAACCCTTAATACCCTGGCAGCGTCTGAGCTTACCCTTTTCTTACGTTCCCTCATCTAAAACACTTGTTTCTCCATCTAACAAGCCTATGTTGCTGGAAGTTGTGCTGTGATAGTCTGCTATAGTTTAAAGACTCTCCTGTGCCGATTTCTCAGTAATGATGCATCCATCTGATATACATTTTAGGTAGCATTTTTGACTAATTTGTTTCTGTCTTCCCTGACCCCTTTTCCATCCCAGCTGTTATTCAATACATCATGAGAGCTGGGTAAAGGTTCAGGGGATCAGACCATTGTAGTGTGGGGGATTTACACTTTTTTGAGCCTCTCAGATTTTTTTCATCTTCAACTGCCTGGATTCCCAAGCTAAGGCCATTCTGAATGGAATCTGCCTTTACTTAGAGCTGAGGAAACCTATCAGTCACTCAGCATTAAGGTTGCTTTGCTGTTCAACTCTCTGTGATCACAAACCCCACTTCTAATAACTTAAAGCATGTTTCCAGCTAGTGCCCCAGCTCTAATAAGCCTTGAACAATAGTAGACTGTTGCCCATTGGCTTTCTTGGTTATGCACAATTTTATGGAAACCTGAAGTTCCCCCTGAGAAACCCCTCAGCTGCCAGCCAACAGCCATTGTGTCATAAGCAAAACAAAACAACACAAACATATTTTTACCTTCCACATGCAACACGTCTACTACCAAATGTGTGTTTTGCTTATGTTACCTACAATTTGCTTACAATACTTACAGTTCATACAGTTCTAGCTACTTGGCATCAGCACAGATCCAACAGGCTCAGGAATCAATCCCACAATGCTGTTCGTGCTTCCTTTAGATCTCGGTTGCAAATTCACATTGTTCCCAGTGCTTCTGGCTCAACCAACTATAAACCAGAAGTTCACACAACTCATCCTTATGTTTGATAATTTGGTAGAACAGTTAACAGAACAGAAGCCAACACTTGAACTACATTACCAGTTTGTTGTAAAATGACACAACCTAGGAGCGGTTAGAAGCAAGAGGTGCCCTGGGTAAGATGTAGGAAGAGGGGCAGGATTTGGCACTTCCTGTACTCTCCAGGTACACCCTCATCCTCATGACCAAGTTGGTATTTCCTGAACCTCTTGACTTAGAGAGATCATATGAAGACTGCATTTTGCAGGCACAAAGAATCCCTAACTAAATCTTCAGCTTCTCTCCTGTCCCTGGAATAAGGTGGTGATGGAAGATCCAATCTTTAAATCATAGCTTAGACTACCTGGGAGCCAGCCCCTCTGTAGGAGACCACTAAGAGTCACCTCATCAGAACAACATCCTGTCACCCAGGAAATCCCAAGGACTTTAGAGTCAGAAACATTCATTCAAAAAGCCTCCGACCTCTCTCATTTCCACTTTAGAAAACAGTTGTTAGGCGGGTCCAAAATCCAAATGAATAATGGCAAGACAGAAGCCACTCACTCCTGTGTGTTGAAAAAAACCCACTCATAGCCAGGTGGTGGTGGTGCACACCTTTAATTCCAGCACTTGGGAGGCAGAGGCAGGTGGATCTCCACGAGTTCGAGGCCAGCCATGTCTACAGTTAGTTCCAGGACATCTAGGGCTGTTACACAGAGAAACCCTATCTTGAAAAACCGAAAAGGAAAAAAGAAAGAAAATGAACCACTCACTAGTATTTTGTTAATGACCCAATATTAGAACAAAGGATCCTTTATCACTTAAAGAAGATGCTTTAAGTTGACCTTTGACCTACAAACACACACACACACACACACACACACAGAGAGAGAGAGAGAGAGAGAGAGAGAGAGAGAGAGAGAGAGAGAGAGAGAGAGAGAGAGAGAGAGAGAGAGAGAGAGAGAGAGAGAGAGAGAGAGAGAGAGAGAGACAGACAGACAGACAGACAGACAGACAGAGGGAGATTTAGGAAATTACAAGAGGTTTCAAAGCTGTATGCTAGAAAAAAGATAATAAAGATAGGATATTATACAGGTGTGTGTGTGTGTGTGTGTGTGTGTGTGTGTGTGTGTGTGTTAGATTGCAGTTTGTGTTAGACAAACCCTGGACTAGACAACAACTCCCACACTCACCTGTATTACCAGTTGTAGAAAAAGCAATGTGTCAGGATTAGTTCGCCCAGGTCACCACAACATCTGTCACACATTGCCTGAGTGTAAAATTCTGTCTACCTGCTGGTGAGATCCTCCTCCATATAACTGGCTACTACAACCATGGTTTCCTAAGCTCAATCAGCTCTTCTCAGACTGCTGCCAGGAGCATTCTCAAGAACACAGGAGTGTTCCTGCTACCAGCACAGTAGCCTATGGGCTTGCTGGACACCAGTGGGCATTTACCGAACCGACGCATACTTCTGTCTTGCCTCTGTTCTTCAAGGTTTCAACTTAGTATTAAGCACCTATTTCCCAAGACAGAAATAAGAAAGGTCAAAGGCAGAGTGTAAGCCAGAATTGTTCTGCCTATGACCTTTTGATGCCTTTCTAACAATGTCAAACAGGCACCCACACTCTGTCTCTGTGTGTTGCAAGACAAGAATGTCAACCAAAGAGGGTTCTTACTTATGATTGATGGGGCAAAGTTTATTTGAAGTTCATGTGTCAGGCAGCCAATGATAATGTAAAAAGTCAGCTTTGGAAAACAATTGCAGACCAAAATTATGGCTCTCATCTCACTATGACCTTGGTACAGAAAGTACTACAGAGAATTAAGAGTCCTGTCCAACCTGTATAGATATCGACACTATCACTTACTCTACTGTGTGCTTATATGGCTCCTGGGGAGTTTTCTCTAGTCTGACATGGGGAGTGGTGTATATAAAATGAGGTTACTTTAAAAGCCTATCTTCACCTCTATCCATCACCACAATAAGATAAACAAAGAAAAAAATGAATTAGAGTCAATATTTTAGTAAAGTAAGCAATTCAAGTGCTTGAATACCAAAAGCCAGTTTCAAATGCATGAAACAGAAACTGATATGCCTGAAGTCAAAGCAGAAAACTCTACAAACTAGTTTATTTTCTTATCTCTTCCTGAGAACTAGAAGGACAAGCTAGATAGTCAGCAAGACCACAGGAGAGTTCAGCCTCACTGACATAATGTAAGGTACTCTGACTATGGAATGCACATTCTCTTCCAAAGCATATGGAACATCCCCTAATGTAGACCATTTGGTAGGCCCTGAAACAAGTCCCCAAATATCAAAGCACAGAAATTGTATAAAGGGCATGTTCTGACCTCAACAGAACTACAAACCAATGAGAAGAAAGAAATCCGGGAAAATCCCATTAAATTTGAAAATTTAAAAACACACTTTCATATAACCTGTAGGTCAAGGGAGAAACCAAATGGGGAAGTTAGAGAATATATTAAGTGAGAACAGTCTATGTAAAAACTCGTGGAATGCAGTAAAACAGTCTTAAAAGGCTCATTATATAGTTGCATAACTATGCCAGGAAATACAAAACCTCCCAAACCAATAACCCAAGTTTCCACATTAAAAGGATAAAAGATGATTAATATAAACTGAAAGCAAGTAAGGAGGGGAAGAAATAAAAGCTAGGAGGAGAACTTAATTCAACAAAAAGCAGAAAACTACAGAAAAACATCAATGAAACCACAATTGATTTATTGGTGTTTTGAAAAAAAAAACCCCTAAATTCAGAAAACTTCAGCTAGACTGATAAATAAAAAAGGAGGAAAGAACAAATTTCCAAAATTGTGAATCAAAAAAGAGAATGTCATCATTAATCTTATAGAAAGGACAAGAGAGCATTATGAATTACTTTATACCAATTAACTAAACAACTTGAATGAACAGGCAAATTCTCATAAAGACTCTCACAATATATGATAGTATAATATAAAATAAAGGACAAGATCTAAGTAATTGCCTCAAAAGTTGTAGAAAAACCCACAAAATATCATTCTCATTTGACCAAAAATAATCCTCTCTCAATAAATTAGGAATAGGATGGATCCTGAACAATTGTCTAAAGACCATTTGTTTAAAGCCCAAAGCTGACATGCTTCCGGGTGGAAAAAGTAGATGCCTACCTTCTAAAATCAAGAGCAGGGAAAGCCCGTCTAGCTGGTTTTTAAATTTAGGATTTGGGGCTATAGGAGATGCTCACTGGGTAAAATCACTTACTTGCTCTACAAACATGAGGACTCCAGTTTGACTCCCCAACACCCACGTAAAAAGCTGATCATGGCTGCACATGCCTGTAAACACAGCATCTGGGGAGATAGAGATTACATGGCAGGCTGTCAGTTGGTGAGAAATCCTGTCTTAACACAGTAAGATGGAGAAGGACAGAGGAAGACAACTGACCTTCTCCTCTGCCTGCGCATGTGCATGCAAGCATTGACATCTGTACACTCATGTGCATGTAGTAGACACACACACACACACACACACACACACACACACACATACATACACACACACACACATTCACACAGACACACAGACACAATACACACACAGAGAAACACACACACACACACACACACACACAGTACACACACACACACACAGACACACATATACAACACACACACACACACACACCAAATTTTAGTCAGCAGAGTGGGAAAAACCCAAACAATATCAACAAAAGGTAAGTTCATCTAGATTGTTAGATGCAGAGAATGGAACATGCCTCAGCAATCAAAAGAGAAAAACACCCTGTGGGAAGACTTTTCTTTCCTGCTTTCCAATTTCCAAATAACTGACATGGAGACTTAATAGTAATTATAAATGTTCGGCCAATAGCTCAGGCTTGTTACTAGCTAGCTCGTACATTATCAATTAACCCATATTTTTATCTATGCTTTGCCACGTGACTTGGTACCTTTCTCAGTACAGCATGCCCATCTTGCTTCTCTCTGCATCAGCTTGCTACTCTTCAGACTTCACCCTTCTTCCCAGCATTCTCTGTCTGGCTTTCCCCTAACTTTATCCTGTTCAGCTATTGGCCAGTCAGCTTCTTTATTAAACCAATCAGAGTCACAAATATTCACAGTGTACAAAGGGATTATTCCACAGCAACACCTGATACAATCACCTCAAAAACAATAAAGTACAGTGAAAGAAACCAGACACAAATGGCCATATTTTAAACAATTGACTGATTTATGTCAAGTGTCCAGAAAAGATGAGTGTGTATACTATAGAAAGTAGCCCAGCCATCCCCGTGGTTGGGGAACATTAGTTAAACCAGGAGGGGCTCTCCAGCTAATGGGTATATTCTCAAAGTGAGCTGGGCTGATAGCTGCACAGCTCCACACATTCATTAAAAACCATTGGGGGAAAAAAAAACACGAGCAGTGGATCCATTTAAAGCTCTGAAGCTATTTAACAATATGAAAATAGGAAATGCAGAAACCTAAAATTTAATTAGAACCCATTTCCTGCCACTTTGTTAGTAATCATCGGTGTTGCCAAAGGTGTTGAGTTGGAATGACCACGTGACCGTGGTGGGCAGCTGGCCTTGAAGGATGGTCTTCTGTACCTAATGATATTTAAAGAAATGAATGTTCAGTAAAGACTGTTGTTTACAGCAATTCACTCTTTTCTACACTTTCTCCAGTACATGGCATTTCACCTTTCAGAGGTGTCTGGACTCAGCACAAGCAGTCATTAGCCAGCTCCGAGCCCCCTCTCCTACACAGGAAGCAGGCAGAGGGTGAAGAACAGCAGACAGGTGCCCTCCAAATGAATCTGGTTCTTCTAGCCAATCTCTTGTGCCAAGGCTGGAAAGTAGCAGGAAGATGAACCAGACAGAAATCGGTAAACAAAAAAGGAAAAGGGAAACTACCAAACAACCTTTGACTTTTACACACTGGCAACTGAAACTCGATTCGTGCATGACTGAAGGAGGGACTGCTGGGCAGGGGGTACTGGAGAAGGATGTGGCCTTGGAAGAGAGCAGGTTTTCCTTTTTTCTGTCAGATATCACTATTTATTTTGAAGCTCTGGTAATTTCAAGGTGACCTTAGTATTGAGAGACGCACTAGGCCGATGGAACCAGAGTCGTAGAGTTCTGCAGTATTAAGGTGGAAACGTGCATTGTGTTATATTCAGATTAAAAGCTTCTGTTCAACAGCAGAGATGTGAGAAAAACTCAACTAGGAACCGTCAAGAGCAATGTCAGCAAATGGTTTGTGTGGATAGGCAGATTTTTAAATGGCTTAGGCTCTACCGGCCAAGTACATTCCTGTGTCCAATACAGCTATTGATTCCTCTTGCTTTCCCACCTTCCTTTCAAAATGCAACTCGTAAAGCTAGAGAAGCTCTCAGCTACTTTAGAATGCGCTCCGGGCTGTACAAGAACAATCCAATGAGCAGGGTCTGCATTGAAAAGCCCTGCTAGGTAGTGTTGGAGAATACAATTTAAACCAGTGTGAATAATAGAGGGTTAGTAATTAGAGTATAAAACAATCAACAAGTCAGTAAGAAGACAGGCAACACAACAGGATGATGATCACATGACATGAATAAGAAATGAACTAGGTCAGGAGGCAGAGGCAGGCAGATCTCTGTGAGTTCGAGGCCAGCCTGGTCTCCAGAGCGAGTGCCAGGATAGACTCCAAAGCTACACAAAGAAATCCTGTCTCGAACCCCTCCAAAAAAAGAAATGAACTAGGTAATAAACAGGCTCTTTCAGGGGAGGGAGGAAAATACAAGTAAACTATGAACAGTATAATGCTGCACGCCCTTCTGCTTGAAAAAAAAAAAAAACAGCTTGGCTTTAAAAAATGTTTCAAAGGAGGTGGAGCAAGTTTAGTTCCTCTGCTGCCCATATATTTATTAAGTTCTTCAGGTCAAGAGTCCAAACTTGTGATCTTGAAGAAGAAAAGGTAAGAGAATGACCATCTTGTCAGTATACAGATGGTTTTCTTATATAAAAATACTGTGTTGACTAGAAAAAGAAAATGACTAACTAGGCTCCATTAAAGTGAAAATGTTTCTCCATCAAAAGATAAAAACAAAGAATCCTGTCACAAGCCCAAAGTAAATATGTGCAGGTACGAAGCCACCCAAAGACTAATAAACCAGAATATAAGGAGTTCTTACAACAGGAAATAAGACAAGCCTAATAGAAAGAGGGCAGAGGGTAACAGACCCTATTCACAGACGAGGAGATGAAATAACCAATCATCATCATCATAATAATATGAAATGGTTAACACCTTCATTATTAATCCCAGGAATATTAGAAATTTAGGCCATAGCAATATAACATTTTGTTTCCAATAGTCTGATATACTAATTTGCTTTCTGTTTCTGTGATAAACACCATGACCAAAAGGAACTTTGGGATGAAAGGATTTATTCCATCTACACTCTAGGCCATATAGTCTATCACCATGGAAAATCAGGCAGGAATTCAAAGCAGAAACAAGGAGAAGCCATGGAGGAAGGGGCTTACTGCATTTTTCACTGGATTGCTTCTAGGCCTATTCTCTGCTGGCTTTCATCTACAGCACAGGCCCATCTGCATAGGCATAGGGCACACTGCTGCCCACAGTGGGCTGTGCCCTCCTATATCAAGACAGTGCACCTCAGACATGCCAAGGGACCAAGAGAATTGAGGTCATCTCTCAGCTGAGGTTCTCTCTGTGTAGATGACTTTAAGTTGTACCAAGCTGACAATAAAAACTGAGCAGCATATCCAGCAGATGTTAGAAGAATATGAAACACTCAAAATGCTCACAGTTGTGGTAAGGAACTCAGAATGCTGGTGAGGAGACTAACTGGTAAAATGTCTTGAAAAAAATAACTACAACAAAGACCCCCAAATTTCATTCTTTGGTATTGGCCACAGAAACATTTAGAGATAACACTTTAGTTTTCCTGTCAGTCTGACACAAAGACTAACACGGAGGAAAGACTTCGGTGGCTCACGGTTTCACAGGGTCAGTTCAGCCTGTTAATCACTTGGTCCCACATACTTAATACATAGTGGAGGCTGGAGCATGTGAGAGAGCTGCTGAGGACATGGCTGGCCAGGAAGCAAAGAGCAAGTGAAGCAAAGAATAGGTGACTAAGGCCCCCGATGACGTACTTCCTCCAGCTAGGCCCCGATTCCTGAAGTTTCCACAACCGTATATGCCCCCAATAGCACCACCAGCTAGGGACTAATTGTTCAAAACCTGAGCATCTGTGGGGTTATTTCATATTCTAATCCATTACACACTCATGCACATCTCAGTGAAAAATTCAATGATTTTAACCTCAATGTCTACAATAGCAAACACTTAAAACTACTGAAATAGCTCCTTGGTCATAAAAGATATAGTATGTTACTGCACTGGAACACTGTAAAGCAGCAAAGTAACTCAGTGAACCAGTTACACTCCGTCGTAGGGACAGGTCCTCACTGTATTAAGGACAGAACAGAGTCAATAGGATATCATTGTAAGGCAGGACTGTCTTTCTTAGGGTTTCCATTGCTGCAACAAAGCACCATGACCAAAAAGCAAGTTGGGGAGGGATGGAGGGAAGGAATATGAATCTTGGGGTCCTAAGCCCTCCAGCATGGGTGCTATCTTGGCTGCTGGAGACAATTTTCTCTGGAGGTTCCGTGTACAAACAGCTCAAGTACATGCCCACTGTTTACTTTTACACACTCTGGACACAGACCCCTTTTGTCTTTTGGAAGAGCAGCAAAAGTCCTTTTAGTGCCACAGAATGACAAAAGATCCACTGGCTTCCTTTCAAAAATGCTAATTTCCCAACTTCCTAGTTTCAGTTCAAGGCCCCTTTTTTTGTGCCTTTAAGAATAAAGTTCCACCACTGAAGTCTCACACTAACTGGTGTGAACGAATAACAGTTCCAGGAAAGGAGCGATGGAGGTAGCATTGCATGTCACACAGCTACCCTGCCCAACAGAGGAACCATCTGTTCACAGGTGGCAGCCTTGGCTAGGACCACACTTGAGGCCCCAAGACCAAGACCAAGCCTAATTTCTTCTTTGATTCAGAGGAAATGTGACCCTTTCTTGTTCTTCTCTTGATATGAAAGCAGAATTAGCAGCATCATATTTCCAGTTATGCAGAAAGTAGAGTTTGGACAGATGAATTCCAGATAATGGATATGATGGTACATTTGGATTTGAGGACCAGCCAGGCGCCCGGTGTGCAGATCCCATGTACTTGGCTGCTTACTCTTTGAAGGACATTTCTGAAGCATTTAAGATGACAGCCACCGATAGGCAGCCTTGCAGGCCACGTGAGATGACTGGCTGGGACTCAGGAAGCCTGCCTCTCCTGGGGACACACAGAGCTGGCAGTGTAAACTGAATGATTTAGGCTATAGACTAGCCATAGACCAGCTACAAACCCATGGGTTAGTCGTAACTCTAAGAGGCACAATTTCTTTATCTCTAAAACATGGTGAATGATGCACCTTAGACTCCTCTATGTTAAAGGAGATGTATATACACCTGTGCATACATATGTACGTATTACGTATGCATGTATCTGCATACAGATGTCCCTTGCTGTCCATAGTGGATTGGTACCAGATGGCTCCTGATACTAGAAATCCACAGATTCTCAGGTCCTCTCTACAACACAGAGCGATGTTTGTGTTTAGCCTTCCTTGTACATCTGCCTGGATAATCACTTCCAGATGATGTACAATACCTGCTGGGATGTAAATGCTATGGGAATCCCTGCCACACTGTATTGTTCTGGGCCGATAATGACAAGGACGTGCGTGTTCAGTACAGATGAAATGGTTTTCCTCCAGTGGTTTTTGTCTGGGTTGGATGAATTTGAGGATGCAGATGGTACATCGAACATAGTGTGATGGGAACATGCATCAAACAGTTTCTGAAGTTACATTAAAAAACAACAACAACAACAAAAGGTTTTCTTGGAATCCTCAGAAAGTACTCCGGCCAGCTCAGTGTCCCCATGACAGAGCATTTTATACTTCACAAAGTCACAGTAGGAGCTGGAGAGTTCAGGGCAGGGTTCCTGGGACAAATCCCAGCAGAAAGTCATCTGTCAGCAGTGACCAGAGAGCTCCTCCTCCCAGGAGCTCCCAGCTGGCAAAGCAACCACCTGGCCCTCTCTGGGCCTTCTAAGCTCTTGCTTGCATTTTTCACTGGGGTAGCCTGAATGATACACCAGAGCCCCATTACAAGGAAACCTGGGAAATGTAGTTGGGGCTTTCCAATGACTAGGCAACAGGGGCAGGCCGTACAACATCCTCCACAGTGAGCAGCAGATCTTTGCTAGGCCCCACAGGGATAATCCAGCTGTCAGGGCCTCGGCCTGGGGTGAGGAGGGGTGGGTACTGGCTATGAATGAGGACAGAGCAGCAGGAGATGCACACAGAAAGCAGGCAGGCCTTAGGAGTCCCTTGGCAGTTGTAGATAGGGACTGGGGGGTGGGGGTGGGGGTGCTGGCACACAGACAGAGCCCTGTAAACTGCTGTCAGGGCCTCCTGGGGTCATTAACAGATAGTCTTTCTCTCCTTGTCAGTCTGTTCATTCATGCCTGGCCCAGCTCTCAATCTGGACCCCAAGCTGAGTTTGGGTCCCCCAAACTCTAGTGCAGTAAACAACCTGGTCCAGCCTCGTTGGACCAGACTCCTGGATCAGATCATAATTAATTCATGTTACGATGAACAGAAAGAGTCAGGGGCTTCATCAATCTCTCCTAGTGGTGTGCTCAGGCTCCTTGGGAGCTTTCTGATAGTGAGTTTTCAGACTTCAGAGAGTAAGCAAGTTGCCTTCCTGCAGGAATGCTAGCCAGATGGCCTCTAAGACCCTTCCTAGCACAGCAAATCGAGGCCCTGCTGTGAGACTTCAAGTCTTAGGCTCCCAGAAAGACTCTCTGAGGGAGGGAAGGAGTCACTGCGGTAGCAGATAGAAAGATGGGAGCCAGGGTAAGGGCATCACACATTCATTACTGGGCCCTGAGGATGAGGCTTAGGTATGGGAACAAGGGACCTTCATAGAGGGGAAGCAATGCTCCCATACCTCTTAGATGACTAGAGCATCGTTGCACACACTGTTAATGTTCTGAAGCAGCTAATGTTTTTCCAGAGTCACCTGGCTTAGGTGCTGATGGGAGTTGGGGGACATGCCCAGTTTTACACAGGAACTGATTTTGAACTAGATACTTTGAAAATTATGAACCAGGCTTTAGAGACTGGTAGTTTGAATGTAATTGGCCCCCCATAAGCTCATAGGGAGTGGCACTATTAGGAGGTGTGGCTTTGTTGGAGTGGTATGGCCTTTTTGGAAGAAGTATGCCATTCTGGGGGTGAGTTTTGAAGTCTCCTTTGCTCAAGCTTAGCTCAGTATGACACTCAGCTCACTTCCTGTTACCTGTGGATCAAGATGTAGGACTCTCAGTTCCTTCTCCAGCACCGTGTCTGCCTCCATGATGCCTGCATGCTGCCATGTCCCACCATGATGATAATGGACTGAACCTCTGAGCTGTAAGCCACCCAAATGAAACGTTTCCTTTCTAAGTGCTTCTGTGGTCATGATGTCTGTTCGCAGCAACAGAAACCCTAAGACACACACAAAAACTGGTTGAGACCTTGAAAGCAAACAAACTACAGAAAAAAAAACTTATATGTTGAACAGATAAGATTATGGTAAGGTTGTTTTTTGTTTTTTCCCCCACCTTTATTTAGATTTCTGCTAATATGTGTTGTAGTTTCTTGTCATAATCCCATATGTCAACATCCCGTGGTTCCCTTGTCCACACATTCAACCAACTTTGGATAGGAAAATAAATTCATTGAGACAACGTATCTGTACTAAACAGTGTGTGAGTGTTGGGTGTGGGGCTCACGGCACTTCTGCCCTCTCAGTGTCCATTGTGTTGTGACTATATTGTTGGTTGTATTGTTCTATAAATGCTAAGGGAGAAAGTCAAAATGGATCAGTATTGGTTCTGGGCACTTTGAAATGGAGTTGGGAGGCCATTGTTAAATCAGGTTTCAGCAGGACTATGGGGAAATGCTGGACCACAGGTATACCCTCTCAGGCCCATGCAGCCAAAGCAGTTTCCCAAATCCTTACTTGTTGACCTTCACAGATCTTCTGCACAAGGGACCCTTTCCCCAAGCTACCCAGAGGCAGAGAGCAAATCCATTTTAACTCTGCCAGCACCAGTCATGCCTCCTGACCTACAAGAGATGCTATTTCCCACTCTTCTCCATTCAAAACTGTAACTGCAACAGCCATCTCACAAGAACTCGGTGCTTGAATCTGTGTCTCCCAAGTTTGCAATTCCAATTGGCCTCAGCTAAATCTAAATTTCTTTGTCCTCAACTAAGCTGATTTAAAATTCTCCACGTTCATTTGTGTGTGTGTGTGAGTGTGTGTGTGTGTGTGTGTGTGTGTGTGTGTGTGTGTGACACTGGGGTTGTCTGGACATCATAAGCAATCCACAGATAATTTCAAGCAGTCAACAAGCACAATAATGACAACATGCTTGTCATTTCTTTCTAAGACAGAGCCAAGAGGTCAGGGGAAAAGGGTTAAATCCAAAGAGTGTCAGAGAAAATGCCTTGCTGGGCCAATCCAGCTGAACAGCAGCCAGTCTTAGGTTCTCTCTCTTTCTCCCCTCCTCTCTCCCTCCCTCCCTCCATCCCATCCTTCCTTCCTCCCTCCCTCCCTCTCCCTCCTCTCTCCTTATTTTTCTTTTAGCCACTGACTACAGAACTGCCAAGTTGGACCTGAAGGCTGCCTTTCCATAATAACCCCACACTCCCCTTGGAGGGCAATCTTGAAGCTTTCCCAGCTTCCTCCTTTGCTCCATCCTCAGTGTTCCTTCATTCGCCCACATACCAGAGCTCACTCTAGCCTGTGCACACATCCAGGTCTACACTCGTGTACCTTTAAATAGTTTACATCTGGTTATTTATTTACTGTATGTGCATGCGTGGCATGCTGTGCATTTGAAGGTTAGAAGAAAACTTGCAAGAGGCCAGTTTTATCTTTCCACCACGTACGTTCTAGAGATTGAACTCTGGTCTTGTCAGGCTTAGCATCAAGTGCCTTTACCCTCGGAAACCATCTTGTCGGTGCTTAGTTTCATTTACTAAAGAATAAAGACTGAGAGCCTTGATTCCATTCTCTGCATACAGCTATTTGCAAGGCATCAATGCACTTTAGGCATTATCTAGAGATGACTGCCTACAATCACTCTTGGTCTTCATTCCCAAATTAAAGTTCCATTATTAAGATCCTTCTCAGAGATGGGTCAGTAGGTAAGAGCTCTGGTTGCTCTTCCAGAGGCTCCGGGTTTAATTCCCATAACCCGTATGCTCACAATCATCTGTAACTCCAGTTGCAGAGGATTTAACTCCACAGACACCAGGCTCGAGTGTGGTACTCATACATACACACAGTGAATCATGCCATAAACTCCTTTGTCCATATATCTTTACTTGCAAGTGTTCATTGCAAAGAAACACTGGTCTGGTTTGAGGCCTCTGGTATATAACACACTATCAATGCAGGGCTCTTACTAGGACTCTTCCTGGACATCCCGTAGGGACAGCCCTCCTGCTCTAATGACCCCAGAGCCAGCTCCTCCTCCTGTCTCAGGCATTGATGTGTGTGGAAGGTGGCAGAGAGGGCGTGTCTCCTCTGCCCATGCTATGTGCTGCACATCTTTAATCCCAGCATTTGGGAAGCAGAGCCAGTCAGATAAGATCTCTGTGAGTTTGAGGCCTGTCTGGTCTATATAGTCCCAGGCCAGCCACAGCTTCAAAGTAAGACCCTGTCTCAAACAACAACAAACAAACAAACAAACAAACAAGCAATAACAAACACCCACACACATAAAATAATTTTTTCAAAAAGAGCCTTTTTCTGTTTTGCTTTGACAGAGTAAACAATGGAGGTTTGTAAGTTGTATGCAAAGACTTCAACATTTTATATAAGGAAATTCAGCATCCTCCAATAGATGATGACAGCTCCAAGTACGACTCCAAAACCTAAGACTGTGTAGTCAGCCACACATGTGGGTTGCTTTGGTTGTCTAGCTGCTACACAGCTAGGTGAGGCAAGCTTGGTCTAGGATGTTGATATATACATAATAACTGAGGGGACAAGACTTGCTGGTGCTTTTCCTCTTCTACAGAAGCCAGATAGGCTTTCAGGATGGACAAGCTCTCGTGTGGATTTCTGAATGCAAGCAATAGACTGAATGCCCAAATTTTATTACACCTTCTCCAGAAAGCCTACCATGCTAAGGTAAATAGTGGGGTGGGAGAGAAGAAGAGATGGAGCAGCAAGGCTTTCAAAGCTGGGCAGCAAATGGGAGCTAGGTCTGGGAGTGCAGGGCAGTGAGCTCCCATGGCTTTCAAATGCAGCATCCTTGAACAGAAATTGACTGCCCTGGACTCCACTGGAAGACAGTCTTATGGAACAGACCTGAACAGTGCTGGAGAAGCAGTTGGTGATGCCTCCCCCAACTCCATCAGGAGGCTGGAGGTTCAGTCTATGGAGAAGACGAAAGTGTCAAGACCACAACACCAGACACAGCAAAGGGCCAGAGTCCGAAAAGCATAGAAATCATGGGAGTTGGAGTAAGACTATTTTCTCTCAGCTTGCAGATCAGGCAGGTCTTCACATGCTCGGCAGGATGCTGGAAGCTTCTCAGATGGCCCAAAAGGAGAGATCTGAAGGTTGATGTCAAATTCCCCCAACAAATGACCCAGCTAGGTCATCCTTCCAAGAGGCTAGAAGTCAACAACATCCAATCATTCTGCACCCCCAAAGCAGAATGCTGGGTCAGCCTTCTCGTCTCCTGCTCCCTTTCTTACCCCTTCCCTCCATCGACAAGGCCAGACCTAAGGCTGTTAGACCAGTGGTCTCTAGGCCCACACTCCTTTGATGTCTAAGCATAGCCTTCTCCGTCAAGTAAGAAGACCCTTCTATTCAACACAGAAAATGCTATCAAGTCTTCTAAGACTTGTTCTTCAGACCCATGTCATCACAGACCTCATACCCCACCTCTTCTCCCTTCATAAACAAACTCTCTTACCTTCTTGTTCCTCAGCTCACTTTATACTATTTTAACCCAACAACCCACAAGGAAAATGATGTCAACTGCTAAGAGGAAAACACTTACATCCTTTTCTTGTTGACATAACAACACCCAATGGCACTGACCACCACTGCCTTGAAATATTCTTGTTTGGATCTTCAACGTTGCTTTGCCAAAGGCCTGGAATGCCAGGGCTTGTTTTCATCCTACAGCTCAACTGGGAGGTGGAGGAGCCTTTAAGAGCTTCAGCCTACTGGGAGGAAGTTGAATCATTGGGGGCATGCCCTTAAAGGGACATTGGGATCCTGTTTCTCAACCCATCCTGGCCACCATGAAGCATGATGTTCTGTGGTGGTATATTATTTGTGATTTATTAAAGCTTGCCTGAGGGTTCAAAATGCAAAACTAGCCACAAGCCATAGAGGTCAGGCAGTGGTGACACACACCTTTAATCCCAGCAGCCATACTAGCTAACTATAGAGCTAGGTAATGGTAGTATACACCCTTAATCCCAGGACTCAGGAGACAGGCAGACAGATCTCTGTTAGTTCAAGGCCACACTGAGCTATATGAAATTGATCCAGTGTAAAAGAGAAACAGCTCACACAAAGGTGATCTCAGCACTTGAGATCACACACCTTTAATCCTGGCACTAGAGAGATGAAAACAGGAGTGATATAGTTGGCCTGAGAGGTATAAAAGGAAGAAGCATAGGGTCTCATGGAGAGATTTAGTTTCCAAACAGGGAGCGCTATTGTCTCTGAGGATTCATGGAGAGAGCATCGCTTTCTGAGGACTCGTGGAGCTAGCTCAATCACCCTTTCAGTCTGAGGTAGAGGTAAGAGCTAGTGGCTGTCTGCTTGCTTCTCTGATCTTCAGCTTGAACCCCAATATCTGCCTCTGGGTTTTATTATTCCTGTTACAAAGTTCCTCCTTCCTAGGTTCAAATGGAACTGCCCAACTAACAAATGATACCTCTAAAACCTGAGTTAAAACAAGTCTTTCTGCCTTATAAGGGGCTTGTTGGTGTTGCTGATGGTTTTGTTTGTTTGTTATGGTGCTAGGAATCAAACTTAAGGCCTAAGGCTCACACATGCTAGGAAAATACTCTACCACTAAGCTGAAAACCTTAGCCTCTTTTCTTTTCTTTCTTTCTTTCTTTCTTATTTAATTAAACTCTTACTAAGTTAGCCAAACTCATCTAGTCCTGTGTGTGTATGTGTGTGTGTGTGTGTGTGTGTGTGTGTGTGTGTGTGTGTGAGAGAGAGAGAGATGCTCAGAGGATAAATGAGATTATCGGATGTCCTGCTCTATCACTCTCCACCTAATTCCTTGATCCAGGGTTTCTCACTGAACCCCAGAGCTGGGCTGATGGCCACTATACCCCCAAAATCCTTGTCTCTGTCTGACTCAGTCCTGAGATTACAAGCAACCACACAAGCTTTTTCTGTGGGCCCTGGAGTTTAGACTCAGACCTCATGCTTGAGCAGCAATTGCTTTTAC